AAGACTTGCACGCGGTGGTTATCTCGATCACAGACAAGAAGCATTTCTTTACCGAACATAGCAAGTCCACGTACACCGTTAAACTGACCTTCTTTGTTGCCTTCTTTTCCTAGTGTGCACAGCAGAACACCATTCTCGTCAAAAACACAAACGGTGCTCACACCAATAAACGATACAAAGTACTTATTGCTGTCAAGCTAATGAGAAAGGGTCCGAATGACTATCATTAGGAACATGCAGTATTATGTCATGAAGGTGATCATAACTGTGTTTATCAAAACACTTTTTTGATTGAGAATGTCTACTAGTACGCTTTCTTTCACAAGTAAACATGAAGTAGGTTTTGAAGTCTGCTTGGCAAGTCAGGRCTACTACTGACTTCGACGAGTTTCGTTCGTCCAAATAAGACTCAAAATATGACTTTAAACTTGTTTTCGATTTTTCAGTAACAACCTTTCGAAGTCTTTTCTTCATAGATGATATTTCTAATCGAGATAAGAATGGAAAACTGTAGAAATCTTAGGATTTGTGGCCCCGGTCTGTCTGCAAGTTTGCCGTCCGCCGATGATCGTTGCAAACAGGCGGTGTTGGACACAGCACGAAAAGGATCCTGGGTTAAAATTTTGACCAATCATGTTGTGCCATTTCGAATTTGGCGGGAATCTCAAAAGCGGAGATGGCGACGGCCCAGGTCTCGATATGTGTGTACAAAAATGCGTTTTTAGATGAATTGTGAAGTGCTGTTTGACAAAGAACACAAGAAATCGGTAGTATATTTTATACTTTTGTGGATGTTGTAATATTTTCCGCATATATTTTCGCTTCATAGCGAAAAACTAGCTTTAAAAATTTTGTTGTCTTTTTTACCAACGACAAGTCGGCAATTTTGACATTGCCAGACGTTTTTCATAGTTGTGATCGAAATATTTAATCAATTGTCTTGATATTAACAATGTAAAACGAGAAATAAATTCTTAATGTCCTGGTTGTATGGCGCACGATGGCGCAGCAGTATTTATTCACTTTTGAAGCAACTAAAGTTAGCGAATTTTGATTCTTCGTAGAAATTATGCTCTCAATTTTACTTATTTTTTTCGATATTTATCATGGGTTATATTTCAATATGTGTTTGTACCATGTTTGTGGTAAATTAAAAGAATATAAAAGCGTCTGTATAAGACATAATAATAAAGAATTTGAACAAAAAACACAGTCAGGCATAGATTTTCTAAAGGAAGCCCGAAAATGCACAGGGATCCCGCTCGAATGACATACACAATTCTTTGATATTAGTATTTGTTTCATGGGTACATGGCCATGACGGCAGTCAACAGATCTCATCTCCACACCTGCACTCGTTTTCCTAACCATTCCAGCGCAAATACTCGACCATCTGGTGTAACAGCAACATCATTAGGAGAATGCATTTGACCAAGACATGAACCATAGCTACCAAAGGACCTTATGAACTGACCGTCTTGACTGAAGACTTGCANTTTTTGTTTTTAGATTCCATAGAACCTGCAAAAAACCCTTGGGGATGAAAAAAGTATAAAAAGCTAAACACAATGCTCTGGACCCCGGTAAATGAGATCAGTGCTTATCTCGCTGTACAAGTGTGCTTGTACAAGTGGTAAAGAGTGATATCAATAGAGCAAAACGTGTCTTAAAGACATCAATATACGGAATAGTATCCGTACTTTTAAAGTTCAATCTCAGAGTTTTGTCGCACGATCACATTTTGTTGCAGAGAAGTATTGTTAAAAGACTGTTATTACAGAACGCCAGAACTTCTGTTGGAACATTGGATCATGTGCCGTATATTGCGCAATGCATTGTAGGATATACTTTGGGAATTTTGTGGATTTCTTTAGTTTTCTCTTGAAAGTGATCCCACAATGCATTAGAAATCAAGTAAAAGGTTAAGAAGTCTATTTCCATTTATAGTACATTCAACAAAATAATACATTCTGATTGGTCGAGAGGAGTACAATTACAGCGTTAATTGTACTCCTTAATTAAGTTGAATGTACTATAAACAAAAAATCGCACAACCTCTCGTACAATTTGGAATTAATAGTCACTCGTAATGTTTTGAAAGTTTAACATTACTCGTGACTATTAATTCCAAATTGTACTCAAGGTCGTGCGATTTCCTATACAAATTATTATGAACTACATCCGTAATATGTTTAAGTTTCTACGGCGAAGTTTTTGATTTTGTTGGACACAGTGAACTCTTTGCCAATGATGGCTGCTGTTTACAAAATTTGTCATAGGTTAAAAAAATTTGGTAATGCTAGCGGCCATATTATGGGATGGGTTTGTAGAATTTTTATTTATTCTTTAGTATTTATATTTTTATTTATGGTAGTTTTATCAAGTCGGTATTTTTTAACTTTCTTTTACGTTTTGTACATTGTATATAGTGTTAGTGTTTGTATGAGCTGCGATG